GAGGTGGGGTCTGGTTACCAGGCAGCATATGCCCCCTTCTGTACTTTATGTGCCTGCTGTTTGGCTAGTAATACATTTTGTCTTGAATTATTATTTATCATCCGTATCATCATAATGATCTTTATTGAATACTTTCTGTGCCCTACAGGCACTATATAGTAGGTGGCTTCTAGGCATTTCTGTGATACTGACCACTTGATAGATAAAGAAAGGATCAAAGAAGTGAAGGAACTTACAAAAGATCATGCAACTCAGGCCTCTCTGGTGGTGCAAGGGGTTAAGATGCAGCACTATGAAGCTGTCTGCAGCCACTGCAGGCATGAGTTCGATTCCCGGACAGGGAGCTACCCACATGGTGCAGCAGACCTCTCCTGTCTCTCCCACTGCTCCCCTTGGCAGTGTATTTCAGTCCATCTGCCCTTTCTGTTCCCCACTCTGTCTCTGGTGAATCCTCTCACCCTCTGCACCTCTGGCCTGTACCCCAGTTCTTGTATGCATAAATACTCACAACTCACAAGAAGAGACAGCTGGGATGGGTGCTTGAGTCTGTTTTTCTCTCGGACCCATATCTGTAGTCCTGTACCCATTTGTCACTATTCTGTCCTGGATGCCAGCCCAGGGAACGTAAGGGCAAGCCAGTGGTGGCAAAGAGAACAGTCAGAATCCAGCCTTCCCTTTGTTCATCACAGACTTCTTCCAACCTTGTCTTCTCCAACTCACTCTTTCCTTTGGATGAGCTCTTGACTCACACCTCCCCCAGCCCAAGAAAGTTTCATCTACTGTTCATGCACATCGTTACTTGGTAGGGCAGGTTCTTGGCCCTAACAGTCTGATGAGGCTTTAACACTGCACAATCAAGTTCCATCCTCTCAATGGGGATACCCTTGCTTCTTTTTTTTTTTTTTTTTTTTTTTAAAGACTGATTGATTGATTGATACAAGCACTGGGTACAGTCAGGAGCGCAGGAGGGTGAGAGAATTCACCAGAGCCAGAGCGGGGAGCAGAACAGGCAGAGTGACGAAGTACACTGCTGAGGGGAGCAGCGGGCGGCAGGAGAGGTCTGCGCGCCATGCGGGACCCTCCTCCGGTGGCCGGGGAGCAGCCGGGGATCGAACCGGCGCTGCAGAGGCTGCAGGCAGCTTCGCAACCCAGCGCTCAACCGCTGCGCCACCGGGGAGGCCCACCCTTGCTTCTTTATATAGACTATTCATCAACGTACAGACTTTCTTTTTTTAGAAAAAGTTCCCTTGTCTACGATGAGAAAGAATTGCTTTTCATTTATCTATGCTATGCTTAGCTCAGTCAGCTAATGGGGAGCTATTAAACCCACTGTACCTATGATTGGTTCAAAAGATTTTGTAATTGGATTCTCTTCATCTTCCCAGAAAAATTCACTAAAATGGAACCACCCTGAGCTGAAGGAATTCTCCTTGCCCAAGTCTCTGTCTAGGGGCAGCTTACAGCGGATGACTAGTTGATGCAAGGGTACAAAGGTCTAGTCCCATGGCCTCAATTCTTGATGACCTGAGGGATCATCATAGCTCCGGAACTTTCCATGGATGAGTTGAGACCTTTCACCACAATGTCAGCATTGTACTTCCCCCTGACAGATCCCTGCATCCCTCCCATCCATGTAGATGTCGGTTCCCAGAGGGCTCTTTACATGATGTCATTCTTACTCTCAGAGTCTGCTTCCCTGGGGCCCTGACCTAGGACACCTTCTTTGTGTGCCGCCTGGTGCTGGTGGTGGTGAATGCTCAGTGTGACTGGCAAGGCGAGATGTCCTCTCTCTAACTGGGGAAGCTAAGTCACGCTTTCTCGAAAGCAGAGCAGCGTGCATGGTCAAGTGCTTGTCTCCTGAGTCATACGGCAGCCTCGCACACACTGGCTTTGTATACTTTGGGGGGGTCTCAGTTCTGTTCTCTGTAATGCGGAGATATTGCTGATGTCAAGCATTGTCAGGGCCGATGTGGCAATGAAAAGACAGCACACCTGCACGGCACTTAGCATGATGTCTGGTGCCTTGGAAGCACTCCATCAGTGTTTTCTTCACAGTTATTAACCGCAATAATTCCTTTTCTCCCCAGGCCCCATCATCGGAGAAATTAGGATGGGGGTGCCTAGATACCTGCTAGCCATGTGGGAAAGCCCTTCTCAGAAAGATCCATCTCTTCAACATTCTTTGTGGGAGAGTGCCAACCCTGAGGCTGCTGGTGCAGTTTTTCTCAATCCCAGTGGGACATGAATATGTTAGCCTGGGCCAGAGACTGGAGCTGGGGCCGCAATGTGTGTTTAGGAGAAACAACGACATAAAAAAGAAAAAAAAAAACACCATGATGACTCTGACATGTCTCTGGAAAATGACTATACTAGAGGCTCAATCAGACTGTACCCCTGTGAGGTCAACAGTCCTTGCTGTGGGGAGGTGGGAGAGGGTCACCTCTCCTGTCCATGAAGAATGAAGCCTCGGGCCTCCCCGGTGGCTCAGCGGTTGAGCGCTGGGCTGTGAAGCTGCCCGCAGCCTCTGCAGCGCCGGTTCTATCCCCGGCCACCGGGTGAGGGTCCCACATGGCGCGCAGAACTCTCCGGCACCCTGCTGCTCCCCTCAGCAGTGTATTTTGTCAGTCTGCCTGTTCTGTTCCCTGCTCTGGCTCTGGTGAATTCTCTCACCCTCCCCAGCTTCTAACTGTACTCAGTGCTTGTATAAATAAAATAATAAATCCTTTTTTAAAAAAAAAAAGCTAAATTATTAAAAAAAAAAGAATGAAGCCTCATGGTCTTGGTGTGATACTTGTGAAGACATAGCGTGAGTGCTCGTTACACATGTATTTGAAGTGTCTTGGAGCTATTTCATGGCCTCATAGGAACTCGTGATTTGAAGAAACTTAAAGTATGTCACCTGGTCTTGCATGTTAAATCCCCTCCATGACAGCTTTCATCGTAACACCCTTGGTGACCAGCGACATGCCAACCTTCCAATATTTTTATCTGTGATTTGGACATCAAAGTCAGTGGTATGGTAACTGCATTTTCTGAGAGTCCAAATACAGAGGGAAAGCCAAATATTTTTTTTCTGCTGGATGAAAGGATTAGGATCCGGGAAAGAGTCTCACAAATTGAAATGCAGAACCTAATTTAATAAGGGCACACTTAACAAGGTAAAATAATCCTTTGGATTAGGATCCAAAAATTCAACTGCCCTAGAGGACAATACGAGAGCTTTTTATTTTCTTATCTATTTAATCATCGTCTATTAATTTTTACCTTGCCTCATTACAAAAAGGACTCGAAATAGCTAGAAAGATGACAGCAGGGGTTCTCTGAGTGTGATGCCCAGACCAGCAGGAGCCTGGTGGCTCAGTCACCATGATAGTGCTGCTTATGGCACAGTGCTGGTATAAGTTTGGGTTTTTTTTTCCCCCAGGATGTTTATTGAGGTAAAGTTGGTTTATATCATTGTTTCTGCTCTGGTGTTTATGGGTTCAAACCTGTACAACTGCATGTTTTCACACTATGCCCACCACCAATACCCCAACAGTCTTCCACCATGCTCGACTCTACATGATCCACCATGCATGTTGGGAGCATCATCTTCAATGCAGTGGTGTGGACAGAGGGTAATTGAGGTCTAACATAGGCATCCTCTCTTGGGCATCCTCATGAAAACCCCAAAATACAGACCCAGGACCACAGAGTGACCCAGGCCCCCCAGTGCCCTCCACCATCTTTACTGGGCCCCTTCCCTTCTGGTTGCTCCAGTTTTGCCGTCAGGTGTCAAAGGTTTGTTAAAGGTTTGCTTTTGTCTGACCCTTAGTTATTTTTCCTCTGCATTACCCCTGTAGATGAAACCATATGGTGTTTGCCTTTCTCCTGACTTACTTCACTGAGCATTAGCCTCTCCAGTTCCATCCATGTTATCACAAATGATAAGAGCTCATTTGTTTTTATAACTGAGTAGTATTCATTGTGTAATACACACACATGTGTATTATATATGTGTGTGTGTGTATGTATGGTATGTGGTATGTGTAGTATATGTGGTGTATATATACCACATCTTCCTAATCCACTCATCTATCCTTAGACATTTATGTTGTTTTCTTAACTTAGCTATTGTAAACAGTGCTGCCATGAGCATAGGAGTGCATATATCCCTTCAAATTAGAGTTTTTGTATTCTCTGGGAGTGAAATTGCTGGGTCTGTGTTTAATATTTTGAGAAACCACCATGCTGTTTTCCATAGGGGTTAGACCAGCCCACATTCCCACCAACACTGGTGTAAGTTTGAGTGATGATTGGAGGTATAACAGTGGTTTGAGACCTTTGACACTTGGAATCTTCCTTTTCTTTCTCTCTTTCTCATAGACTAGCTGCTGGCTATTGTGTCAAGCTGCTTCTATTTGTCTTCTTATTCTTCCTAGTGTGTTTCTCCTCAATTAAGTGCTAGAATGGCTAATGACCATGCTTGTCAGTTGGTCTTTTTTTTTTAAATGTTATTTGTTTTTTAAATTTATTTATTTATTTATACAAGCACTGGGTACAGTCAGAAGCGCGGGAGGGCGAGAGAGTTCACCAGAGTCATAGAGGAAAGTAGAACAGGCAGACTGACGAAGTACATTGCTGAGGGGAGCAGCGGGCTGCAGGAGAGGTCTGCGCGCCATGTGGGACCCTCACCCAGCAGCTGGGGATCGAACTGGCGCTGCAGAGGCTGCAGGCAGCTTCGCAACCAGTGCTCAACCACTGAGCCACTGGGGAGGCCCTCAGTTGGTCTTTTTAAAGGCAGAGGGTCAGCTCTGCAACTGCAACTTTAGCTGCCAGGAGAGCATTGCTTGCTATAGAGATCAATGGATTTGGCTCTGTTGGTGATATCTAGCTTAGTGTTATGATTAGGTGCCCTTTGCCATTAAGGAAGGAGAAAGGGATGGAGGGAGGGAAGAAAAGTTAGGCAGCGCTTCCTTTTGAACCTCACTTTGAATTTCTCAATCCCTTGCCGTTCACAGTGGCCTAAACTTCATTGACTTGATGGTGCGACAAGGGAATATCGACAACCCACCCAAGACGCCCCTGGTGCCGGGCTTTGAGTGTTCTGGGATTGTTGAAGCTCTGGGGGACAGCGTGAAAGGATACGAGGTAATGTTCTGACTTCTGAGTAAAAGAGTAATATTTATCTGGAATCTATAAAAGATGATGCAAAAATGTTTGAAATGACCTATGATATGTAATATTACCGCTGTCTTATATCATTTGGTTTTATTAGCAATGTTTATAAATAAACAAATGCTGCCATACTAAAGACAGGAAGGACTTTCCAAAAACCTTGTGCCTTTCTCACGTACCACCTTGGTTGCTCTTGGCAACAGACTGGCGAAGTGGCCAGAGGAAATCTTGCCATCCCCTTAATTCAGCTATTCATAGAATATCTGGTCTCACATTCGCTAAGTGTGCATACCCTCTGCCTGACCCCTGGTTTCCATTTTCCCATCATCTCAGACTCAGAAAGCCATTATAAAACACGAAAGTTGGGGAAAAATAGCCTCTGCACTTAAGAACTTGGTTCATTTAAATACCTAATGAATTGATGCATTTAAGTGATAGTTTGTAAGTCTATCTTTCTGACATTATGGAAGTGACAGTTTGGATGAAGATTTTAAAGCCCAAGGGTAGAGGCACCTGACAATGGGACAGAATTGGTCCCGTGTTGGTGGTGACAGCTTTGGGAGAACAGCAATGGGCACAAAGGAGTTACTGTATTATTCTAATTACTTTTGTATGTGTTCAAAATTCTCCCTCATGAAGTTTTTAATTAGTACAAAGATATAGGATCCTTCCTACCATGATACTATAAATCAAATAGAATCTGGTCTATAAAAATGGAAAAACTGGCCACATCAATTGTATAAAAACTGCTGTAGTTTGGAGTTGGAAAAACTGATGGAAACTAGGAAAAAGAGCTCATGGTTATGAGGAAGTGCTTCTCCAGGGAGGAATGAATGAATTGACATCTGAGAACCCATTCTACCCAGAAATATGGGCCAGTTATCTGTCTTTTCAGTCTTGCCACAGCTTTGTGTGTTGAAGATTGGTATTATTCTCTTAGAAACGAGGTTTAGCAGTTTGCTGTGAGAAAGGTAGTTTGTTCTGTGAGAACTAGGTTGTACCTAGTTCAAGTCACTAGAACGATTTTCCTCTTCTTACAATTCCACGATCTTCAGCCCTGTCCCCCAACCTGTAAATGCTGCCATACCAAAGGTAGGCAGGAAAACTCCTACGGGTAAAATGCCGTGTCCAAATGTCCTTGGAATTGAGCTTGAGCCCGCTGCTCAGTCTGCATTCCTCCAAGTCTCCATATACTCTGAAAATATAAGTGCTCCAAATTCATTATGAGCTATGTCTGGAAAACTCATCCCGCTTGTCAGTCATTTTTGTCAGTGGTTTCCAGATAATACAGCAGAAAAATATTGAGAAAGAAGCAAATGAACTTTTTTTTTCTTTCATTCGACTTTGTATTTCCTGTCCCCAGGCAGGTAAGCAATATTACTAGAGACTGCATGATCTCCCCCTGAAGGTGACACTTATGAGAAATATTATCTGTTTTTCATTCCTCCATATGACCCCACAGGCAAAGATCACTGGGCTGACTCCATTAATCCTAAGCACTGGATATGTAACCCGTTATTTTAGGATTGAACAGTAGACACAGGCATGTTGCTGGCCTTGGTTTAGAGAGAGGACTTACCACATTTAATACATATTTTCCCATAGTTATGATCTTTCTGCTAGTTAGCCTTGGCTTGCTTATGACCAAAGCCTCCTTTCACAACCCAACCCCCCAGGGGCTTTCTGCTTTTCAAACAAATAAAAGACACTGCCCACAGGTTTCCAGTCAGAGTGTGATTTGGGAGAAAACCAATGCTAGCATTCCTTCTATAATTTTGATTTAAGATTTTCAGTCATTTTTGGAAATGGAATTCTATGCAACAAAATGTGGAGTAGCAGTCTTGGTTTGATCAATTGCAAGAGAAGTTTGAAAAGCTGTTGCCAGTGACATAGCAGTAGAGATATAATTGGGCTCAGGACTAATTTCTTTTTTTTTAATATCAAGAAATTTTATTAACGTAGGTAAAATAAAGTTTGTTTTGTCATTCAATGAGAAATATGTAATTTGCTGATAGCCAGAAGCTCAGAGTTAAGATCAATGCCCATTACAGTAACTCATTTAGCCTTGGAATATATATATTATATATATATATAATATACATCATTCCTGCCTGCATATTTTTTATTTTATTTTATTTTTATTTTTTAATATTTTATTTTATATAATTCTTACATCATTTTTCATTTTTGCACAAAGTATGCATTTTCATTTTGGTTATATTTCCCATATGATTGCAACCCCCCCCCCTTATTTTCACCCTAATCCTTTCTTTTCCTGGGCAGGCTCAGGTAATGAGGTGAATTGGATATTTGGGGGGAAAATTTGTCTGCTTTTGGACTTTGGGTTGGGGCTGATGCCATGGCTTAGCTACTTTTGTCATTTTGATGATGAAATGTAAAAGGGACAAGGTTGAAGGAGAGACTTGATGCATTAGCCCTGCTGGGGCTGTGATCATTGCCAACAAGGTGACTGACAGTCTTTATCGTACCCTGCTGACACTGGGGGTGACTCTGTGGTCCTGGGTGACTTTGTAGTCCTGGGTCTATATCTTTGGGTTTTCATGATTCTGTGTTAGACCTCAGTTACCATCTGTCTAAATCACTGCATTGAAGATGATGCTCCAGACATCCAGCATTTGGTCTTCAACCCTTGTAGGGATTTGAGACACTCCCAAGCAGTAGGACCTCCTCTTATTTCTGTGTGTGTCTCCTTTGGACAGCTACTTCTGCCTTGTGAAACAGAGTGGGTCTACATTCAACTTTGATCATAAAACTGAATTCCATGAGGTCGGGAACAAAGCTGTTCTATTAGGCATTAACCTTGATTGCTCTTTCTTCATTTTATGTGCACTTTTCTGAGTATGCATAGTGTGCTGTTTAATCCAGTCTTCATGAGGACCCTTTCCTAATATTATACCCCTTTTAGAACCATGGGAACAGATTTAAAGAGTTGAGCTGATATTCCCAAGCTTGGTAGGTTCCCCAGCTGTACAACCTGATATAATTTATGGCCTCTTAGTAGCACTTATTGCGAGTGTAATGAATTAATTATTTGTATCTGGAGTCAGTCTACCTAGATTCAAATCCTGGCCTAGCTACTCTTTAGCTAGATAACTTGGGCATGTGCTTTAATCTCTTTGCCTCCACTTAAATGTCTGTAGAATCTATGATTGTTCATCAGGGACATGGGGCTTTTACAGAATCCATATCATAAGAGGCTTTTGTTGTTGGATAGGAGTAGAAGTGAACAGATAAACTACAAAGGAAATAAAATAATAGAATCAATTCTAAGAATACATAGCAACACACATAGATGAAAGACATTCATTTACTGATAATTCATTATGACCACAGCAGTTTGAGTATTGTATTTCAAAGTCATAGTTCAAGAAACTAACATATCAAGTAGCAGAATGGTTCCGTTTAACTATCCCTTGGCAGCGCATGCCAACTATTAATATTAGTATTTGCTCACTTACTAGTATTTACCTTTAATAATGATATGCTATTAAAAAAACTTAGCAACCATCATAACCACCTAAAGGGAAGATTGTTCTTTTACAATGTGTCTGGCTGTGTTTCAACTACTGATGAAAAGAACACAGTATTCAGCCATGCCATCATACAGTTTTCATTAAGATTTGATGAGTTAAAACACGTGGTACCCTTAGGATATGCCTGCCATAGTATACGTGTCTAATAGTAAATGTTAGCTGTTGTTCCTCACCCCTAGGCAGGCTGTCCTTCCCTCTAAGCTGGGCTGCTTTTGTGCAGTCTCCTGCACTTAGATTCCTGCACTTCTGATGCGCCATAGTTCATGTCCATTGCTACTGATAATTCATCACCTTTGATGCCAACGCCACAGTGACTAGCCAGGCAGGGAATCTGTATGGAGTTGTAGAAAATTGATAAGACTAGATTTTCCTTCTAACTCTGCCCCTTTAACCTGTCATAGCTCAGCTTTCTTCAGCAATAAAACAGAGATTAGATGAGAGGTTGAGTCAGTGAAATCATGTGCATTTTATGGGATATGTTACTTTATGTGATGGACATAGTATATTTATGCTCAAGGAGAACGGTAGAGGACTTGGCTTCCATAGCCCCTGGGAAGTTTCATAGATGGAGTTCAGAGCATCCACAAATGCTTTGAAATTGGGAGGCAGGTGAGGGGGTGCATATTTGAAGGTCTGGGGAAGTTTGTTGGGAATGAATCAAGAGTTTACATCAGAATCTTAAGAGCCTTTGAGAAATTCCTCAAAAAAGATTAAGAAACCTCCATTAACCCCATGCTTCTCTGTGACCAGATTGGGGACCGTGTTATGGCATTTGTCAATTACAACGCGTGGGCAGAGGTGGTTTGCACACCCATGGAGTTTGTCTACAAGATCCCAGATGACATGAGCTTCTCCGAGGCTGCTGCATTTCCCATGAACTTCGTCACAGCCTACATGATGCTCTTTGAAGTCGCCAATCTCCGAGAAGGGATGTCTGTGCTGGTGCATTCGGCTGGTGGAGGCGTGGTAAGTTTGCTGTGCTTGAGTCTTCTTCCTTGAGGTCCCAATGGTGAATGTGGAGGAACACCCAGTTGACAATGATATCCCTACATGAGCTCTGCTCATTAGTAAGGATGATCTTTATGGTTCTGGCGATGCTTCCATGGAGGGTGGAACTCATAGAAATGATTGCATTGGGACAGGGTGAGCCTCAGAGAGGAAAGGCACCCTCAGTCTTGGTGTCACAGTGAACTATTGATATTTTGTCCATCAATGCGAGATTCCTCATAAGTCATGTGCTACTAATAATACCTGAAATGCCAACATGATGGATGATTTACTTTTTCAATAACGGGCCATGGATTCAAGATTGTTCCCATAATAATGGCACGTTTGTTCATCTGCATCTAATGTAGTTTCTTGATTGGCGGGGAGGTGGATGGAGATTGAATTAGCAAACTGGGAATCACATGTAAACCTAAGTATATCCATGAGAGTGGATGCACATGTGGATGTCATTGTCGGGGGGTGTCTTTGACAAGGGGAAAAGTAATGGAAATAAAAATTCTGCCATGGGGTTTAAGAATGGCCACATCTCATCCATGGTTTGACTGTGTCTCAGTGCCAGCTATTCAGTAAACCCATGCTGGCCACGTGGCAGCACAGTGTCCCTGTCATGGTCTGCTGGGGTTGGAGTAAACTCTAGTCCTTCTGAGAAGGAGAGGCATTTGTCATTCATTCAACTAGTGTTGAATACATCCATGCTCTGGCTTTATAGGCATTGAAATTAATGAGGGAAGGTTCTGCCTCACCATCTAGAAGGGTTAGAGAGTTTCTCAGCATTGGCGATGCTGTGGTTTGACTGCATTCAGAGATGAGTTCACTGGGTGTGAAGAGATTTTACTGGATGTTCTGCTATCACTATTTTTTTAATCTTGGCTTTCTACAACTATTAAAACCTTCCATACTGTAAAGCACTTTTCTGTTTTTTCTTTCCAAGAAGACAAGCTCCTATATAAAACATGAAGGCCAAGGCATAAAACTTCAGGAATGGCTTAGGAGGAATATCTTCAATCACTTTAGCAAATTTGCTGATGTCTTTTGACCATGAGTAAAGATATAATAAAAACTAAACATCCCTTAGCAAAGAACTGGATTTCCGTGCCACTGAATCTGCTAAAAGCAAGCAAGCCATTTAGAATGTTGACATTTATGATCCTGGTGTGCGCAGTATCCAGAGCTTCAGAGGCTAGTGTCCGTATTATCAATGTAACCCCAGTCTTTACAGTTGCACTGAACTCCATTCTGCTGATTGTCAGGATTTGAACATTGGTGTTGAGCATGTTTCCTTACATGCTTTTTAATTTTTTCATTTGCTTGTTTCTGGAACAAAGAGCTGTATCATAGTTACACATCTCACAAAAAAGAGAACAAAGTCTCAGGAAGTATGAGTTTTCATTGTTCCTTATTCTGGGCTTCCATACACTCTAAGAATAAGAATTAGTGTGTCAAACAGATGAAGGAAATGGATAAAGGGGACAGTAGGGGGCAAGGTAGGAAAGTAAGTTGATGCATATAATGCAGGCTGTGATGCCCTAAAGCTTTGCTGAAGCTGGGTGACACACTGGGCTCTCAGCTTGTGCAACCTTAGTGTGTGAAAGCAGAGAGAAATGATCAGCCCCAAGAGCCATTTGAATCCATGTTGGGTCCATTTGATGGAAACAAACCAGTTCGTAGGAAAAAAACTATAAATAACACTGTTTTTCAGGCTGGGGAGATATTTTTCTAGGTTGCTCTTGAGAAATGTATGCTGATATGCAATGAACACTCTCAACAAGATTGTGAGAGTAGATACAATTATTTCTGTGATGATTTTTCTCATGGACGTCTCGTGTAGTCTCACAGCAGCAGAATCAAGCACATATCTTGGGGCCAAAATGGTGTGGTCTGGCTTAGCTTACAGTCTGAAGGTGTGGTGGGATCACCCATCTCTCAGAGCAGTGGGTCTTCTTAAATAGCATTTCTCGGGCCTCCCAGGTGGCGCAGCGGTTGAGCGCTGGGTTGCAAAGCTTCCTGCAGCCTCTGCAGTGCCAGTTCAATCCCTGGCCACCAGGCGAGGATCCCACATGGTGCGCAGACCTCTCCTGCAGTGCCCTCTGCTCCCCTCAGCAGTGTATTTCGTCAGTCTGCCTGTTCTGCTCTCCACTCTGGCTTTGGTGATTTCTCTCATCCTCACGCTTCTGACTGTACCCAGTGCTTATATAAATAAATAAATAAATCTTTAAAAAAAATAGCATTTCTCGCCACCACTATCTGATATGTGGCGTTCAGCACTGAGTTCAAGGTTACTGTTGGAGGAACGACCCAGCCAAGTGCCTATCCATGTATGTGAATGCTCACCCAGGCTGGGGTGAAGTTGGCTCTGTCGTACAAAAGCAACGGAGTGCTAAGGAGAGTCCAGACAAGTCCACTGTCCCATAATGGCAAGACCTCCAGAAATAACTAGATTCCTTCCAAGAAGATACGCAACCACTGTTCTCACAGGACTGGAAGCTTCCTGGGTGGGGAGAGGGGCCTATTTTTTACACTCTCAGTGTTGTCCTGGAAAGGAATGGAGGTGCTTCCCATCAATGTTGGACAAATCTGATAAGGGAACCCACTGGCGGCATGGTGGCTGGTAATTAGGACAGTGACTTCCCACAGACCTTCATGTCATAATCACTGGCACCTGTGGGTATGTTACTCTACATGGCAAATGTGATTAATATAAGGACCTTGAGATGGAGAGATTATTCTGTATAATCCAGATGGCCCAATGAAGTCACACAGGTCCTTAAAAAGACAAAAGAGGGAGGCAGAAGAGTCAGAATGATACTTAAAGAGGCTACACCTGTGAGTTTGACAATGGAGGACAAGATCATGAGCCAAGCGATGTGGGTGGCTATTAGATGCTAGAAGAAACAAGGAAAGAGATTCTCTCCTGGAACCTCCAGATGGAACACAGTCCTGCCAACACCTTGATTTTAGCCTAGTAAAACCCATCTTTGACCTCAAATCTCCAGAATTATAATGTAATAAATCTGTTGGGTTTGTGGGTTTTCTATGAACCACTAAGTTTGTGGTCATTTGTTACATTGGATGTTAGAAACTAATGCACCTCCTTTCTCTGGGTTACATCCCTTTTCTTCATTGTGGAAATCCAGAGGCCTGAAGACACACATAGCAAGACTATGACTCTTACCCTCATTTGGAAGACTCCAAACCCATTCTACTTCTACTTAACAACCCAGAACATTGGGAGAACTCAAATCATTCCTGCCTTCCTTTATTCCCTCACTTTACCTTTATCCCAGTGTTAAGTATGGACATGTCACAGACTCTGACCAGGTACACTTTTCCTGACTGATGTAGATGAGATGACAAAGAAGATTGAACCTAGTTAGGATGAAAGTTTCCTAAACTGAGTAAATAATAAATATGCGGTTCTAATGTCACCAAGGCTTCTGTCTGTTTGTTTTTATTGGCAAAAGAGCTTTATTAGTTTCACTAGGTATTGGACTTCACAGATTATTCAGTTGGTCTTATTGCAGTCCATTTGTTATATTACCATTTTGTCACTAAGAACGGTGTTGAAAACTTTGACACATTTCAAAGCATTACATCGAATAAATCTGTCTTGCATATTCCACAGTGCTTTTCTGTCTGATTTTGATTAAAAACTGGGATGATAAATTTGCAAAGTATAAGAAATGTCAGCCTAGCCTATAGTTTTGAAGGAGTAAGGGAAATAATTCTATCCAGAGAAGGCTACTTTCTCACTGAAATTGCCCTAGTCTATACTGCTCTATCACATCTTTGAAGATGTGGTTTTCCTCTGACAATCCCACAACAAGGTGGTATGAGGGGTAGTGCCTCTAATCAAGTCTTCAAACCCTTGAAAATGTACATTCAGGGCCTCCCCGGTGGCACAGCGGTTAAGTGCTGGGCTGCAAGGCTGCCCACAGCCTCTGCAGTGCCGGTTCAATCCCTGGCCACCGGGCGAAGGTCCCACATGGTGCACAGACCTCTCCTGCCACGCCTGCTGCTCCCCTCAGCAGTGTATTTCGCCAGTCTGCCTGTTCTGTTCCCCGCTCTGGCTCTGACTGTACCCAGTGCTTGTATAAATAAATAAATAAATCTTCTTAAAAAAAATGAAAATGTATATTCAATCTTTTCAAAGGAAGGGTCACAAAATAAGCAACAGAGTGGGGTGCATATCAGGAACGTAGAGTTAAGGGTTTTGCTGCCAATCCCATTTATTAAGGTACTGTGACCTTCGGCATTTGATTGGGCACATGCTCAATTTCTGGAGACCAATGCTACCATTACAATATGGTATTGCTTCTTTGTCTGACATTTGATGCTTTCTAGTTCTCAGTCCTTTTAGCGTTGCCATTATCTCATCTGAATAGTGTAGGTGAGCAGCCAAATACGGCCACAGATCTTGGAAAGGAAAGCAGAACTTAACTTTAAGACAGAGTTAAATGGCTACCACTCAATTATTAAATTCTATTCATTATGGATGGGGCATTTCCCAGCATCAGTCAAATTACTTGAAAGAAGAAACCACACAAGGGGAGGGTAGCATCTTTACAGGCAGCACATGAGGCTCCCCCACCTCATATGAGCCCATGTCTCAATAGTCCTCCTTACATGACTGATTAACCATACATCAGTCTCACATTAAATGAGCAGCTGGCTCAGTAGGGATCTTCAGTATAATGGAGGATTTTGATATATTGCATATCATTCAATCTCAGTAGAAAAGATGTAAAAATGTAGGAGAATATTTTGTTGAAAACAAAACCACTGTTGATCATGAAAGGCCCCCACACCTCCCCAGCCACTCAAGCCAGCACAGTTAGCTCTTCTCCAACATGCTACAAGTTTCCAAAGCTGTGATTCATTACTTTATTCCCTCACTCACCCCACATATGTGTAGGGAGGGCCTACTCTGTCCATGACATTGAATTAGGCCCTAAGAATTC